CCACGGCATTCGCCGCTTGTGAGCGTTTTGTCTGGTTTCTAATACTCCGCTCTTTGCCTGGCTCTCTCTGACTTTCTTGCCCTTTCAGAAASTCTCCTGGTAGCCACGAGAAACCTGCATCAAAACCTGCTCGTCCGTCTTCTCTTGGGCCCCATCGCCAGCCCCACTTCCGAAGTGTCCCGGAGAAGGTGCTGAGCAGCCAGCGCTGTAATTGCAGCTCTCTAACTGCAGCCGTTTGCCAGCCGTTCCCCAGCCACGGAGTCAGGGGAGAGGACAACATCCCCAATATGCAAACCCCCCAAAGAGAGCTCCTTTTCATTATAATATCCACACCAAAGTAAACCTCTCCGTGCCTGTAGGTTTCCATAAACAGGCTGCAGAACGAACTCAATGCCACAGCCTTGTTTTCCAACGTGTAATGCATAAACAAGAGATTTCCACAGCCCCGGGGCTAGATTTGCAGTGTTTGCAAGTCTCATCTTCAGGAGAAGCTGAGCAAACGCGTACAATTGCCCTCTACCTTTGTACCTTTGCTGTTGAATTTCCTTATCTTTCCCTATCTTTGGCTGTAATAAAAGGCAGTTTATTTGCAGTGTGTTTCCTTTAACTTCTGTAGCCCCAACAGCTTGGGTGGAACAGAGTGCTGAGTGCGTAAGAAGAGGGAAAAACAGCAGCGAGTGGCAGGGACAAGAGAGAGCAGACCCGTTGGGAAGCTGGTTTGGTTATTTTGTCCTGTTCTGCTCTTGGGGTTTATTTTCCTCCTTGCATGAGGAAGCTCCTTTCAGAAAGGACAATTTGTCCTGCTGTGCTTTCCTGCCTGCTTAATTGGAAAAATGCATTACATTCATATTTTTATAATTCAATATTTCCTGAACACATCAGTCCATCGACTCAATACAAGGTTAATCTACTCCAAACAAGGCTGGAGAAAAGCGATTCGTGMTTGGAGCAGAAAGCAGTGAAGCTTGTGGCACCCATCACCCAGACACAAGCAGGTTTGGGGCTCCCTCCMTAACACTGTTGGTATTTCTGCAGAAACGGAAGTATTTAGCCTCGTTTCACTGTCCTACTCTGCTTAGTAAACTTCCAAAAACAACTACAGCCAGAAAGCAGAACGTTTTCCTGGCCTATTTACCAACGTTTGACTTAGGCCGCTATCGAGTTGGGCAGCTGGAGGCAAAGGGAGCGGAGCCCGAGCGGATGGGCTGAGTCCTGCGCGCTGGCCAGGAGCATCCCGCGGACCTTGTCCCTGTTCRTGGCCCACAGCTCGTCCGCGGGGATCGGCCCCGCTTGGCGGTCCAGGCACAGCTTCTCCCCACACGTATCTAAAACACACGTCCCAGCCGCCGAAAGAGGGCAGATAAGAGGGGCGAACGCAGGCACCAACYGCCCGCGTGTTTTGCAAAGGGGAAACAACAGAGAGGACTTTGTGAGCGCCKTATGGATCTACAGGTAGCTCCGCTCCCTACGTAAGCCAGATACGTCAGGTTGATCCCTAAGAAAGGGCGGCTGGAGGAACTGCAGCTGCCAAACGGCACGGCCTGCATGCTGCAGCCTTCGCCCGCGCTTCCTGCAGGGATGGGATCGGCCTTCCCTGCATCCGYGCTGGGAAGGGAACGGGCCTCGAGCCGCAGGGACGACCCGCTGCAGGATCAGGGCATCACGCACGTAAACGTGTCCTTGCAGCTCAGCGAGGGACGGAAATGCCGTGGGAGGAACGGGCTGGGAAGAGCGAGTCGGCGGCACCGGGAGTACCTGGAACGCRGTGCCAGGGAGTCCCAGCGCTTCCTGGCGAGGTGGTGCATGGGGTGAGAGAAGGGACTTGGGTAGCASCTCCCCCCGAAAACCAAGCTCTCAAAATGGTTAAAAACACAGATAAAGGAGAAAAGCAGCATTCCCGGGCACTGCAGCACACAGAGGCCTCATGGCTGGAGCAAAGTGTGTTTTGGGGCCCTTGTTGAGCCTCAGAGAAATAAGCCTTACTGCCCTCGTGTGGCCGTCGCTAAAGGGGGCCGCGGAAATCTCAGCGCTTCAGGATTCATTCCCTCTAAGTGCTAATATAACTGCTAAGGAGAGACGCTTTCCACACGTTCCCGCTCACAGCGAAACTCTCTGATCTTGCCCTCGAAGCGCCCTGAGTTGCCAAAAGCCGGGCTTGTGGCGCACGGAGCTCGAGGGCCTTCAAAAATAGAATAAAATGCCTGGATTTTGTTTAAATTGTTTCTGATCCTCCTGCTTTTGCAAAGYGAGCTCAGTGCAAAGCTCCGAGGTCTGCAGCCCTCTCCCTGCGCATGGGATCCCAGCAGGAGGAGCTTTGGTGAGGACAGCGCATGGTTCTCCCGGGCTTCCTGCAGATGTAGCCGGACGCCTATGGAAATGGGACTGGGACCCTAACACCAGCTTTCCRGCGCTGTCCCCGCAGTCCCTCAGGCTCCAGGCCACCCCTGGGCGCTGGGATCCCAACATAGATCCCAACGTGGATCCCAACGTGGATCCCACAGATGCCCCATGGATCCCCACACGGCCTGGGCGGCTCTTGCCGCAGGGCTCCCGCACGACTGCGCCTTGCGGCGCTCCGGACACCTTTGGGTCTGCCCGGCAGAGCAGGGCGGTGGCGGGAGCAGACAGGCGGCGGGAGCCCTTCCCGAGGGAGCCGGGAGCGCCCGGCGCGGACCCTGGCGCCGCCGGAGGCGCGAGCTCCGTGCGGTCCCGTCACCGCAGCCCTGGCGCTCCCGGTGCTCCCGGGACATCCTGCTGGCGCCCGCGGCGCGAGGAGGGGCCGGCGATGCGGCCCGGCTCCCACAGAGCCAGGATGAAGGCACGAGGGGCCTTCGCTCCCGGTGCTCCCGGGACATCCTGCTGGCGCCCGCGGCGCGAGGAGGGGCCGGCGATGCGGCCCGGCTCCCACAGAGCCAGGATGAAGGCACGAGGGGCCTTGGAGCCTCCTGAACTTCGGGACGTGGGGACGGGGAGTGACAGGGCTTCCCACAAGACGTCCCCGCCTGGACGCGGCCTCCTTCCTGCTCGCTGGTGTTTTCAGACCTTCCATCCAAGGAGTCGTCCCCAAACGCACCAGTGTGAAAGCAGGCACTGTTCTGGCAGCCGCCCTCCGCAGTGACTGTTTACTTTTCATATCTACCTCTGCCAGGTGTTTACTTTCTGTGTCTCCCTTTGCCACGTGGCTGCTTCCGCAGGCTCCAGCCACGGCCCTGACGGGGCCATCCCAGCAACGCGGGACCTCCACAACCTCCCAGCCTCCTAGCAGGGGGGACGGGCAAGAAACAGTCCCGCGGCCCTGCGGTTCTTGGTGCCCCCCTGGCACTAGATACATAGAAATGCACTGCTCCACTACATGTCACCACCAGGTAATCTTCAGGACCCATCGTGTCCCAAAAACGGGCCGGTTATGGCACAGGGATGGCCCGTGACCCCGGCCCAGGCGCCCAGCGGGCCGGGACGCTCCTGCAGGCCAAGGCTTKTCCAACCCAGGAGGCTGACGGACACCAGAGCAGGAGGAGCGGCAGAGCAGGCGACAGCCACAGCCTGGAAATACCCGAGTCTTCCCAGAAATACTCTCCTCACTCCCGATCCAAAAGCCCAAACCCATCACTGGGTGGCTGCCCAGACCTCAGCAGGTCTCGGGCTGCTCTCCGCTTACCTTTTTTGTGGCGTTTTCCTTGTGTTTCAGGGCGAAGCGGCCGGCAGGCGAGCCCAGGCCCCGCTGCCCAGCTCGGCGCTCGCGGGCCGGTCGCGGCGAGGGCACCGCGGCCGGCGCTGCCCTGGGACAGCCCACCCCACGCGAGGGCAGATACCTCGTGCAGCGCGTGGACACTGCCGGATAGCCCGGGATASTGCCGGATAGCCCGGGATACTGCCGGATTCCGAATGCTTGCAGGCTGAAAACTGATAGTGGGTGAGCCGCGGGACAAGGGCAGTTGGAAAATGCCCTATTTGGTGCGTGGGACTTCCCATCCTTAACTCCAGGCAAAGAGCCGCTGGCAAAAACATTGCAGGGACAAGAAGGGACCTCGGACCCCCTTTGGCATTGGCTCCCTATTGCCAACGGGGCAAAAATCCCTATAAACCCTTGCAGGGCCAAAGATGCAGCTCCCCTTTCTCACCAAACACCATCATAACACAGGGAACTTTTTCCCCTTTTAGTTAAAAGGAGAAGAGGCACCCTGGGCTCATGCAGTGCAATGGGATCTCTGTCCCCAGGGAATTGCACCAGGAAGTCCTGGCACCTGCYGGGCATTTGGCCATCGCCGGGCAGACCTGTGGCCCAGCTGGCCACCGTCCTCTCACCGGATCCCGCGGCATCCTGGCGGATATCCATCCCTGGAAAGTGGAGCACAACATCTCCTTGTTGACGGGGACAAAGTTTGGGGACAGTTTTCCTGCAAAGCAGCTGCCCTTCCCCATGCCCTGAATCAACAAAAGGGGGGGGAAAAAAAAAAAGAGGCAAAAGTGTAAACTCCGAGGACAGGATACCCAAGAAAATATTTACATAGGCAAAAGATCGATCAGCCCAGCTCTCAGGTATGCCAACAGTTAAAAAGCAGTTAAAAGCAGTTAAAAAACACTTAAAAATCTGCCCTGGAGCAGCAGCTTAGTGTTATTTTTCAGGGAGGGGGAAGAGAGGCAGGGCCTTTCCATCTACATAGCAATGGAAACACCCGGGTCATGAACACTGCAAAAACTTCTGTCTTAGGATGGGGCCTGCCCAAATCACTGCCTTGCTTCGATTCTGCCAGTCTGCMAGATTTAGATACACGGCTGGAAAATCATCTCCCTCTGTTGCTTAGGGGAAAAAAAAGGAAGCGGCACCAGAAGCGAAGTGAAATAAAGTGCTTAAAAGAAACAGGAATAAATATTAGAAGAGCTTGTGCTGGTAGYATTTTGTTTTTTACTACATGTTCAATAAAAATTGCAAGCGTTTATCAATCAATAGGCAAAGGGGGGGGGCACTTCAGGGGACGACCCCAGGGCACATTTAATTCCCACTCGATTCAGTGGATCTCAAACTCGCACGCGGAGTGTTTTTCCCACCTAACAAATCCACAATGCTTTAGCTTAATATACTGGGAAGAGYGGGGGCACGTGAGCTGCTCCTCGATTTCCCCTCTGCAAGTCCCTAGCGTGGGCAGAGGCTGCGGCACCGGCTTTCCCGAGGGCACAGGAGCAGGARGGCGCGTGGGAGGAGGGATTTGCTTCCCTGCCGGGGGCTCCGGAACCGCTTCYCAGGAGGAAAGGCCACAGAACAGCATGGAAATGGCCCCTTTCCCAGGCAGCGCGAGTGAACAGGGGGGAAGGCTGCAGCAAATAGCTCTGGGCACACCAAAATCCAGAGGAGCAACCCTTTAAGTTGCATTTACATCAGTGACCACAGCATTAGCACTTCCACATGTCCGCACGCATCCCTCAGGATCCAGCAGCTACACAGGCTCCGTGGCTGTGCTGGAGCTGCCGTTACGGCCCCAAAACCTCCATCTGCACCCAAAGCAGGTCCGGTGGCTGGATCCGAGCCGGGCTCCCCCTTCCCGGKGAGGGAAGGTCGACACAGCTCCTTTACCTGGATCCGGAGCAGTCCGCGGTCTGRTCACAGAAGCATCCTTGCCTGGGGTGCCAAGGCTCTGGAAATGCCAGCCGTGCTGCTTAGACACTGACACTTCCCTGGGAAAATCCCAGGAAAAGAAGGTCTGACATGCTGCAGGGACACACGTTTGTGCCAAAACTCCTACTGTGCATCTTTGCTATTTTAGAATAATAGCAAACAACAGAAGATTCGAGCAGTTTGTGTCAAAATTTAAAAAAAGAATCAAAGGAGTTCTTGGAAAAGTGCAAAGGGGGTGAGTCGGTCCCCGGATGAAGAGCGCGGGGGCCTGCGTGTCTAGGAAGCCTTCAGGAAGACGGGCACCTGGTCAAGGGCGGCCGAGTAGTTCCTGAGGACGGTGCCGCCGCGGAACGCGCGGCCGCTGCTGGCGTCCGCCCAGCGGCAGCCCTCGCCCGGCAGGAAGACGTCCCGCTCCGTGCGGCCCCTCTCGGTGACCGGCGCCACCAGGACCTGCGCGGGGGCAGAGGCGGCGGCGCTGGGAGCAGGGCCTCTCCAGGCTGCCCGAGGGGAGAGCTGCCAAAACGGGGGAAAAACACGGAGCGCCGAGAGGAAAGCGGCCAAGAGGAGGCAGCGCCAGCGCCGGGCGGCCGGCACCTCCTCGTGCCGGGCTCCTGGAAAGCGGCGGCTCCGGAGCAAGGCAGCCAGCGCCTCGCCGGAGCCAAGGGACACGGCTGCCCTGCGCCCCCTGCGCGCACGGAACCTCTCTCTTCTCGTTGCCTGATTTACGGGAGAAGAGCTCAAGTTGCCTCATGGGCAGAGCGTCCTGGGGTCTTCTCCCCCACATGACCGCCCAGGAAACAGAGAGAGAAGAACAGCTTCTAAAATCCTGACAATATTTGTTCCTGATTAACTATTTCACTTTAGAAACTGAGGAAGGTTTCCAGGACTCAGAATTAAGACTTTTAGGGGAAGGATGGAAGTTTTAGCTTGCTTACAACTACAAGTACAACCATCACAAGTGCCCAAACGCCAAGCTCTCCTTCCAGCAGAAAGCTGGTCCTTTAGCAACCTTTTCCAGAGCAAACCCTGGTTTGAGAGCACCRCTGGAGCCACCTGTGGCTGCAGGGGGATAGAGGGCATTGAAAAGCCTGGTACAACAGCCATCCACACTTGCACAGAGCTGGAAAAGAAACTCTGCCATCCCAAGCGGCTCTTGTGCCGAAACACRGAGCAGCTCCCCATGAATCCAACCTGGGCATCCCCATGCAGCTCCTCACCTCGTCTCCGATGAGGAACTCGTCATCCACAGCGAAGGCGGCTGGGTCGGTGGGGCTGAGCCACCATACGGGCCGGAAGATGGGGTAGCCCCACGCCACCCACTCCTGCGTGTATTTGACAATGAGCGGAGCCACAAAGTCCCGGTGCCTCCGGATGCACTCCCTGGTGAGGTTCAGCACCTACGGAGAGCGCACRGACCATTCCTGCATCCAGCCGACCGCACCGCAGGCACCAAGGGAGAAGAGGGATAAATAAACGTGTGCAGATGTGTCCCTCGTGGGAAGGGACAAGGGCCTGCAGTGCTGAACTGCAGCATCACGCCAGGCGCCCCAGGGCGAGCAGGCCTGGCAGATACGTCCCACAGGCTTGGGACTGCCCGGCCACACGCGTCTTTAAGTGAAGCTGCCGGCCTGGAGAGGCCGGAGCGCGCGTGAGGATCACGGGACACGCACCCAGGCGTCGCAGCAGGCCCAGGGCGGCGTGCCGAAGGACATCACGGGCAGGAAGGTGACGATCTGCAGCCAGCGCACGTAGAGCTCCTGCTCCGGCAGCTGCTCCGGGKGCAGGCTCCCTCCTGCGGGCGCGGGGAGCTGAGTGCTGCACCGCGTGTGGGGCGCCCCCATGGCGCGCGTGGGGCACCCCCAGCCCGCGGTGCCGCTCACCCACGGCGTCGGGCACGARGAAGCTGTAGCCCAGCAGGCTGAAGTGCAGCGCGGCCGGGATGAGGCCCTTGAGGCCGCCRTGGCTCCAGTCCGAGCGCAGCGGGCTCATCCGCACGAAGAGCGGCAGGTGACTCGACCTGGGCGGCACGGGAGCAAACCCCTTATACATGCAGCCATACATGTGCTTACATACACCCTCAGGGGCAGGAAGTGCTCTAGGAGGAGAGATTTTCTGTATTTCAGTGCGCTAGGACACTTTAAGAAAACGGGCACGTCAACTCCTTGCATTGGTTCCAAAACTGCCCRATGCGCCTGGAAAGCGGCGTTTTATTGTGCCAGGAGTGACTGAGCGTCCAGGGATTGGGCCAAGGTGCCGGGGCTCACACCCTCCTCCTGCAAATCCATGGATCGCATTGGGAAGGTGACAGCACCGGGTGCATTAMAGCGTGGAGCGATAGCAGCTACGCAGGAGGGTGAGAGTCACACAGAGGGAGAAGGGGAGATGCCGGAGCGAGGCGGCTGCCGCGGGCAGCGCCGCGGACCCACCTGGCGCCGGCGGTGACCACGGTGCCGTTGCCCAGCGCGGCGGCCAGGCTGGCGAGCGCGGCGGCGTAGCCGTCGCCCTGCAGTGCCGCGGGCGGCCGCACGCCCTGCTCCACGTACGCGTTGCCCTCGGCGCCCTCGAGCACCAGGTGCCGGGCGCCCAGCGCGCGCTGCAGGCGCTCGGCCCGCGCCGCCAGCCAGCCCGCGGCCGCCTCGCTTGTGGCGTCCAGGCGGGCCGCGAGCTGCCCCTTCCAGCGGGACAGCAACGGCACCTGCAGCAGGACACACACGTCACTGCGAGCGCGGCCCGGAGCGCAGCCCGCTTTGGATTGCACCGGTTTGTGCTCGGGGCCGTACCGGGGCGCCGTGCCGYGGGCGCAGGCTGAGCCAGTAGCCGTCGGTGCCGTCGCGCAGCGAGCGCAGGAAGAGCGGCGAGGCCACGGCGGCGTACGGGGACAGCGTGACGGAGAGCTGCAGCGGTGCCAGCGCCGTGGGCTGCCAGGCGTCCGCGCCGCCCTCCTGCGCCGCCTCGGCCAGCACCGCCGCGCCGCGCTCGCCCAGCACCAGGAGCCCGTCGCCGAGCCGGTGCCGCTGCAGCCGCCTGGAGAAGGCCCGCAGGCCCCGCTGGACCCTGCCCGCCGAGCCGTCGGGGCCGCCGTAGTGCCACAGGGGCGACCTGGCGGCAGCGCGGGGTCGGTGCCGGCGCTGCCGCGTGCCGGGACGCGGGCACGGGGGGACGCGGGCGCGGGGGGACGCGGCCTTACCGCAGCAGGGCGGCGTCGGGCGGGCGGCGCGGCGCCGGCGGGGGGCGGGGGGGGGGACGCGGGCGCGGGGGGACGCGGCCTTACCGCAGCAGGGCGGCGTCGGGCGGGCGGCGCGGCGCCGGCGGGGGGCGGGCGGCCGCGTGCCGCTGCGCGGCCGCCGCGTCGGCGCTGCTGCACAGGCGGTAGCTCAGGGCCGGCGCGGCGCCCGCCGGCGTCTCGAGGCAGAAGCGCCTGTCGCTCTCCACCGAGAGCACGAGCGGCACGTCGGGCGCCACCGTCACCGTCACGCCTGGCGCGCAGGGAACAACGGCGGGGTCAGCGCCGGGCAGCCCTTCCCGCTCCTCGGCCCGCGCAGGGCGGGATGGGCCGTTCCGCCCCGAGGTCTCTCCTGGGATTTCGTCTCCGCTGTGGCTCTAATCCGCTCCCCGTGACAGGYCTCGTGCCTGCGCTCGCCAGCCCCAGGCCGGCGGTGGGCAAAGCCCCGGGAAGGCCGAGTGGGAGCGGGGATTCTCCCTGCTCTTTCTGCAGTGAGGTTTGTGCGTGGGGCGAGAAACGGGCAGGGTCGGGGGCTCACAGCACCGCATCGACCCCRAGTTTTGCACCAGCCTCCGGGATGGCATCCGCAGGGAGAGCAGGGAAGAAGGGCAGCTCTCTCACCCGTGGATCCCAGGAAGTAGCCGTCCAGCACGGGCCCGTAGCCGCCGGGATTGTGRCTGAAGTCGCTGATGACGAAGGGCTGCGCCTCGGCGTCGACGCCGTTGAGCGGCCAGCGCGGGGCACGCACGCCGCCGCCGCCGAACCACGACACGTTGGCCATGGAGAAGCAGTCCTGCCGCCCCGGGCCGTCAGCAAAACGGCATGAAAAAACAAGGGGGAAAAGTGGGGAGAGAAAAAAAAACACCACAGAATTCCCATCAAAATCCTTCCCGTCAGCGCACATCAACAAGCTGCTTTATATCGCTAGAGATACTGGGGGGAAGATGCTGAAAATCAATTGAAAATAACTCCCATCTTCCTCTAGGATGCGGTGCTCCCATCAGAGCCCCTGGCCACATCCAGAGAAGCACAGCCCCAGCACAGGGTAAAGCACCGCGGAGGAGCAGCTTTTCCYGGTTTTCTGACTCCGAGCTCCAGGACTGGGGAGGAAACATGTCCCAAGGGCTAGGGAAAGGTGAAGCTGAATTATTAAAGTGGAAATCTTGGAGGCACCCGAGCACGGGGCAGGGTTTCAGCTCGGCTGCCTGCACTCAGGTAGGGGGGAAAAAAAACAGCAAAAGAAGAAAAATAAACCTTATTTTTGAGAGTTTTGCCTTTTCTCCAAATCTGACCAAAAGGTGATTTTTGATGGAGGAAAAAGTATCCAGGCTGAAAAACAACCCTAGTTTTCAGCATCTTTCCATCAGCATCTCCAGTGACAAAGAGACCTGCTCCTAAGAAACGTTTCCCCACGTGGGACCGTTTCCCGCCCGGAGGCCGCGCTCTCCCGCACGGCGCCGCTCCGTCCCACGCGTCCCGGCGCGGGCGCCGTTACCTTGAGCGCGGTGCCGGGCTGCAGCGGGGTCCAGGCGAGGCCGTAGCACTCGGTGGCGGCGGCGCCGCCGGGCGCCTCCTCGAGCTCGACGCGCAGCTCGGCCGCCTCGTCCCAGGCGCCGCAGAAGACG